GAAGACGTGACAAGGTGCTATCAAATGCAAGGATTATTATTATTTAATGCAACTATGAAAGGACACATTGAAATCCGGACGGGACATGAAAAGGAATGTGTTGAGGGAAAGGGTGGGGGTGGAAAGGGAAGAGCTTTCAGTAGAATTTACTCCTTTCCCAGGAGCAAACATTTTGTAAAGATATTACAGTTTTGGAAGCATTTTGCCTCGTAGCTATTATTGTACATCTCCCAGTCTGTTCAAATTCACCATTTCAGCTCCGTGCTCTCATCAGTGAGCTGCTCAGTTGACATCTTTTACAGGAACGTCAGCCAAGTTGATCTACAAGGAATCTGACAGATCAACTTCTAGGCCAGCACAACTGAACACCGAGGGTACTTTAATTACTCAGAGGGTTACCAGGTGGATTATTGTTGCGTGAACCCATTTGATCTCAACCTTCTAGAATACCGACCCCACCGTCCTGCCATTACAGCATTTCGCTGTTTCTTATCGGGTGTGTTGGCCTCGCTCACCCTTCTACTAACTTGTTTCAACTGCAGGATGAGTTTTGTTGAAGCCTCGGAGGAACGAAAGACTAAAGTTCAGAGGAGAAATGGACATAGTGGTGTTGCTAATGGAGAAAGCCGGGAGGGATGAGACAAAGGTTGTGAAGCTGGAGGTGAAAGCCCGAAATACGAGCAAATAATAGTAATCCTTTGCATTTGGATCGACACAAAAATAGAGGTCAAATTATATAATCGTGAGAACTGCCAAATTGGTGGGATTTGGGGATAAAACCTGTTATTTATTCTTTCTTTTCACATTCTTTCTCTATCCACAACTGTTTGTGGGGACGCTGCTGTGCACAATTGGCTACCGCGTTTCGCCCATAAAATATACAGCCAATTAACTTTACAGTATATTCTGCAAAGCGCTTTGGGACGTCTCGAAGACGTGTAAAGGCGTGATATCGATTGCAAGGGTTATTATTATGCAGTGAAACAAACCTTGATATCACTTTACTGTGATCTAATCAGACGTGTTTTGCTACTTCCCCACACCACTGATAAAAACATATGTTAGTAACAGAATAAAAGCCATTGCCTCAGGACATGTATAAATTGTGAAGGAGAGCGTCGGTGGACAAAATATATGAGTGACCTTTAGCAAAGAACAAAAAGGAAGAAGGTACATTGAGTCTGGACTGGCTCCATTAGGTTTCAAGTGATGTGCCTAGATTCTCTCCCATAATTGATTGTCTCCGAGTACTTTGTGCAGAGGTCACTATGTCTAGGGGGCGATGAATCCAGATACTCTTCTTAAAGTAGCTTAGTGGTTGGAGCACTCGTCTCGCAAGCGAAAGGACCTGTGTTTGATTCCCGGGCAAGGCAAAATGTTAGGCAAGTTTCCTCACTCCACACACATGCCTCTGTTTACCCAGCAGGTTGTAAGTCGATTGGCGGATCATTTTTCCGGGGGTATTAATCCCTTCAAAAATAAATAAATTACACATCTGTCAACATGAAGCAATCACATAGATAACGAAGAGCAGAATATCCTTTGATCTCCATGTGTATATGCTCCGTGTGTACTTAAGGAGTACATCTGTTTGCATCAGAGAGTACTTTGTTTCACTGTAACCATACTGTGAAGATTGCTAATACTTTCATCACTGAAGTTCAAACCGTGATGAAAGCATCTCGTGGTGGTGAAGGTCTCTTTAGGTTACCCTTATTGACTGATACACAACTAAGATTTTCCGCTGTATCTGTAGTTTTTTAAATTCGCTGCAGATAGGCTTGAAGATGTGCTTTGTCTGAACACGATTAAAGGACCAGTGAATCAATTCTATCCACTGGGGAATGACAAGAGCTGTATATCAACTGCAGGGGAAATCGGGAAATACGAGGCTTTGACAAACCTGTGTTGGATTAAGAAGTGAAAGGGGTGTAATTAATGGCTTCATTGTGACTCTATCTCATACAGTCAGCGGTGATCGCCCACAGTGAGCAGAGCCATTAGACTCCGGTTCATCCATCTCAGATTGACTGAAAAATAGTGACTTAGATTCTTTCAACAGTTTGCATCCGACCTGCCTGTGCTGTGGAATGGAGAACCGTGAGCAGCAGCAGAAACTAAATGCACAATAAACAAATGCCCGAGGTCTGAAGGCAGGGCTGTAGTGGGGGGCTGTTGATTTGTGTGGGGTGCTACTAACTCACAGGGGTTGGCTATAGCAGCACTCTGCCCTCATTACGTCAGATTTCAATCCCTCTGAACTCCAGTTCCTAATAGACACACACCTACCTTCTCACTCATTGGACACGTGCTGATTAGATTACGTTGCAGTCATTTCATGAAAATGGGATTTGCCACAGTCATATGTGGTGGCATGAAATTCTCAGCTGGGTTTGGAGACCCTTAAGCACGGTGATGGGTTTCGGCTCGTGTCAGACACCTGGCCGAGCAAAAAAAAAGAGAAAAAAATATATTTATTTTTATAAATGAGACTTTTTCAGCTTGTTAACATGCATTTTCCTTATTTTATTCAAATTTTATTGAAATATTGAATTATGATATTCTATTTGAATATCAAAGGGAGCTTCTTACTGTACGCAGGTCACGTATGAAGCATTAATTGGAATTGTATCTCACGTCTGTTGAAGTTTTTCTTTGGTTCTGTCACCTTTCGTAAAGGACCAGCAACAGTGTCTATAAACAGAGCCCTTATATTTTAACATTTTCTCCTTTGACGCAGTGAAGAGATTAGAGAAATTAATATAATTGGAGCTCATGTGCCATTTCCATATGCAATACATCAATACGTTCAATGCTAATTTACTATTCAAATTCCCAAGTCCTATAACAACAAAAGATAGATGCTTTGTCTCCAGACAAATATACTTGTTTCATGCAAGAACCTTGATCTATTCACACCACCCTTAATTTATTCTTTATCAAACAAACACTTTTAAAAGTAATCCATATTCATAGTTTGATGATATTTGAGCAGCATCCAGCTGTGCTGTTCTCCAAAACTAAAATTGATTTTATTCAATTCTAAAATAATAATAAAGGAGCAGGTTTTTTTTTTTGCTGTGTACCGAAGGTACTCATTATAGAGTGAGTGTTGGCAGTGTTAAGAAATGGAAATGTTTTCATCTCTGTGAATAGTGACAGCATCAGATGTTTCTAGGTCAGGTACAATGAAGAAATTCCCATACTCTCTCTCTGACAGAATTCAACATCAATATTTGCCGAATTGCACAGTGCTAGCTGTTCGTAGGATCTGTGGCAGTGATAAATGACTGGTGATGAATTTATGCAGTCATTTAAGGAGTGAATATGACCACTATATGTACGCCCTTAAATTATTTTAAGTTAACATCCTTCTATCCTCAAAATGCAACGATTAATATTTTTGTCAGTTGACCCAAGATAAATGTTTAGCTGATGAGGACGCTTGTGAATAGAATGGAAAAGAATTGTGAATTGAGTTGAACGATTCTGAGTTTATTCATGAAAATCCTGAGTGTTCTGCTGAATATTGAGAAGGTGAGATGTGACAAGTGATATTGTTGTATTGCAACCTGCAGAATCACAAATGAATGGCAATTTTACAATACAGTCAGTCAATGGGAGAAAAAAACTGTGTCAGCGTGGTAGGATATTTGATATGGAGATCAACGGCAATCCAAAGTTTGATAAATCAGACTTATAACTGAAATGAATAAAATGGAAACTGGAGCGAGGGATTTCTGGGAGGTTTTGTAATAAATATTAACTCTATGTGGGCAACATGTCTCGTTCACTTTAGGTTTCACTTTGGTTATTAATAATATTTTGGCAGAAACAGGTGTTCGCATAATTGGAAATGTAGTCTCTACCCTTTTTATTTGTACCGTAAGTGACTGTGACATGGAGTCCAGTAAAACTCGCATAAAGTCTGATCTATACAAAATTGTTTAATCAAAATACACAGTCAATTCACTTTGCAGTATATTCTGCGAAGCGATTTGAGACGTCTCGAAGACGTGATAAGGTCCTGTATCAAATTATTATTATTATTAATGGCCCAAATCCCGTTCAAGAGTTTCTATTCTATTCAAGTTTGCATAAGTCATATTAAATGTATGGTCCCAACTGATACCACTTGTTATGTTAATTGAACTGTAGGTATTCCAGGAGTTCATTCAACAATTGTCAAACCTTCTGTGAGTGAGAGAGTGAAGGTGGTTTGTGTAACACATTCACCACTGGAAATGGAAGCTCAGTCCTCAGATCAAAAACTGCAGTTAGGATAAAATTCATGCTGGTTATTTGGCGGGAGCGGGGCAGGAGATCTTTGATAATGTACGTTCTTTAGATTCTCAGGTTTTTAAATGAATCTATTGTCTACCCTCGGCCACCCATTACTGTACTGTCCGATTGGCTCAGTTAGTTGTATCTGTTGAACTGGTTCAGGCTCCATGTCTGGATTTTAGCTTTGTTAACTCTCCAGTGCAATACTAAAGTAAAGCTGCATTGTCAGTGGTTCGTGGCTTCAGATGTTAAACCAGACAAAGTCCGATCTGCTTACTTCGGTCTTACACTCTTGCTTTCCTTTCCCATCTCACACCCTGCATTGACTACCACTCTTGTCTCCGTGATGTACTTTGAGACCTTTCCGCTAAGTGAAAGGCACCCTATCTGTGGAGCCCTTGAGCTCCTTGCCCGAATCGGTCCGTTTCAGAGAGGACAAATGGGGAAGACATTTTAAAAAATCTTATGCATTGATTCAAACGAGTCATGGAAACTTTTCCCCCATAAAAAAGAAGTTTGCTCAACTTGGGGCCAAGTCCCTGAAGGGAGCCTCGGGCTGTTTACCATCTGTCAGAGCGACACGTTGAATAAGAATAATAAGCCTTGTGTTTGACATTGCGCCTTATCGTGTCTTTGAGACGTCTCAAAGCGCTTCGCACAAGATACTCTCTGTCCTCCTGGCTTTGTGTTAAAGACGATTCTCTTTTCTTCCTCAGGAAGTTCCTCCCGGTGGCCTTCGCCCCAGTGTGACTGCGGCTGCAGAAGCAACAAGGGTGAGAAAGATGGCGAGAGCGTGACTTCCTGCAACGAACTGTCCACTTCCAGCTGCGACAGCCAGTCGGAGGCGAGCTCCCCCCAGGAGACGGTCATTTGCGGCCCGGTGACCCGCCAGCCCAACTTCCAGACCCTCGATCGCGCCAACAAGAAGGGGCCGGTGCAGCATCTTCAGCAGAGCGAGTTCCGCAGGAAAAGCGACCTGTTAAGGACACTGACCAGCGGGTCTCGCGAGTCCAACACTTGCAAGAAGAAAGGCAAAGAAAAGATGACCATCGAGGAAGAGCTAGAGAAATGCATCCAGGATTTTCTAAAGATTAAAATACCTGACAGATTCCCCGAACGCAAATACCCCTGGCAGATGGATCTTCTGCGGAAATACCATCTATAGAGAACAAACTAGGTCCCTGCATGGACTCACCCCATGCTCGGGCCATTTCCCTCTTCTCTCTTTCTGGGCTCACCCTCCCTCCCCCCCAACACCCACCCACCCAAGCTGCTGAGTGTTCCTGGACTCCAGACTTTTCCCGGACTCCAGACTTTTCCCTGGTTCCCGTCTACCCACCCACACCCCACGCCAATCCTCAACGCTTCTAAACTTGGACATCTCTCTCTCTTAGCTCCCATTTCCAAGGCTTAGACTATTCCTTGTTCTCGGGCTCTGACTGCTCCAGAGGATGCTTGCCACCCATCCCCAAGTTTGGAAGCTACTTAAGAAAAGGCGCTGGAGGGGTGGAGGTCGTGGCTTGAGTTCTGAAACCTCTGCTTTGCTGCTGGTGAACTCTATCGATAACCTTAGAAAAAAACTGATGTGCACGCATCACAACACTCAGAAATAAGTGGGGAAAAGAGGTCTTTTGGTACCCGCGCTGCCTTTTCAGGAAAAATTGCTAAGCAGAGAGAGAAAAAAGTTGTCAACTCTATTCCAAAGTCTGGCGGGTGGTAAACTAACCTCTAATCTCTGAAGTGCTCACTCCCTACTCCAAGACTCGGACCTTTGTGCATTACTGTGCTATTCACTGCAAAGACTTTGCTTTGGTGTTTGTCATATGACACAAAGGTTATCTTCTCTCACAAAGGAATGGTCGCTCTCGTCAACAAAAAGCTTTCATTCAGTTCTAAATGTTCCTTTCCCGAAGTCTCTCTCTTGCCCCAGGAGCACCGAACGAACACACACGGTGAGCTTGTGTGATGTAACGTAGCAAAGCAATGCGAGTCTTCTCATTCTTGGTGTCACATCGCAAGAAAAAGAGTCTATCGATAGAAGAGGTTGGTGCTGTTGCATGTGAGTGATACCAATTCGTAGCCTGTTACAGAGGTTCCCACGCACTTTGAGGTGTGTTCCTACGCTCGGGATTCACCGGCTGCTCAGCAATTGCTGTTTTACTTTCCCGGATTATAAAGCATATGTTCGATGTAAAAACAAATGGATTTGCACTGACTTGTCGTATCTGAGTGTAACTCTGAGATTCAGTATTCACTGTGTGATGTTGTAATTGGGTCGTCAATATTTAAACCCACTCACATTCTTTCCTCAGAGATTCACTTTCCTCAGAGATGCATCTCTCTCAGAACTCTGCGATACTGGTTCCCGTCTGGGCTATTGAAGCACATGTTCATCTCTTCCATTATTCACTGCCTTGGTGGTGGTCCCTTATCTACTGATCAATTCTTAGGTTAATTTCATGAAATGAAACCCTTTGAGGACTGTCGTTAGTGTTTTGCACCAAGTCTGACCTTGATATAAATCATCAAATCCAAATTGTTGCAGAGTGTTTGGTAATGAGAGTCACATTTCATGTGTGTTGCTGGGCTCTTTCTCATCCGTGCACCTCACCAAATATTTTAGTGCGAAATCTCAATGTTCAAATAGGGTCTCCAGTCCTCAGAGGGTTGATTTCTTTCAAATAAAAAGGATCATTCGTTATTCTCTTCTGTGTTTCGATTTGAATCTTTTAACGCTACGACAGGAAAGGGATCTTTACACCGTTAATTTTTCTGCAAAATGAACAAATCTAAGAGCCAGCTAGACAACGACAGCCTTAAAGGGTACATTGGGGACATCGTCACACTGACCGGTTGTTTGGAAAACTTGTTACCATTATCCTGTAACCTTGCAATGACATGATGTAATTTTGCGTTGGGTGGATGGATGGTGCGATTTCATGTCGGATTTCTTCCCTTCCCTTCCCTTCCCTTGCATGGCGATGACACCCCCATCAATGAAAGGGCATGTGTCATCTTACTTCTATTTTCTTACCTACTAGTGAGAAAAGCAAATTGTGTCAATTTTCCGATCGAGGTGATATGATTTCTATCGGAATCATGGCATCACCTGGCACGTATAAGAGATTGGCCAGCATTGGGGATCAGTGCTATTGATGTTCCAGGCAGCATCTTAACGACAGTCTAAGCTGATGCAGTCACTTGCCATAGATTGAACCCAGCTGACTGTCAGGATCACACATGCCCTTCAAAAATGTGCTATCAAGAATAGCTCCAAGTGTTCATGATGGTGACCTCATCTAAACTAGGTCAGACTGTTAATGGGACACAATGACCACCAGATCACCATCTTTCGGCTACTGGACTTGTTGGATTTGGTAGTAAGTTGGCTTTTTTTGTGAATGATGGTGATGTAATTGCACCGTGTCCTTGCATATCTCCGTCTAACTGGTTGGTATATCTGTGGAACTGCACTGTGTTCTTCTGTAAATTACAGACACGAAAGAAATGTGTGACAGACAGCTTGTAACGGTTGAAAATGTGTATAATTTAAACATACAGTATAAGGAAATGCACAATATTTATAAATAAAAGTATACACAAAGCATTCAGATCTGCTTTTGTACTGCAGTTGAAAGTAATTTACCTTAAGGTAAAAGGATCTCAATGTACCTGATATTCAGGTTTACTTGAATGCTAGGAACACCGTGAGGTATGGTCACATGTTGTAAAAAGGGAATACTACAACAACAATTTGCATTTATTGCTGCCCTTCACGCAGGATAGCATCTCAGAGTACATACTTCCTTCGGTTTATTCGAATCACTCACACCCATCTAAACAACTGAGATCTTAAAGTAACCTCCCAATAATAATTTGGGATACAATAATAATCCTTGCATTCGATATAGAGCCTTACTGTATATTTTGTGGGCGAAACGGGGCAGCCAATTGCGCACACGTGGGCCAAATGGCCAGATCTTCTTGAGTGTGGCCAAATCTTCAGCAACATTTGTGGTAGATTCTACAATGTACACGGGTTGTTAGAGCCTCTTGTTCCTTGTAGCGTGATTTTAGAGCACTGCATACTCGGCACCGTGATGTGCATGAGGATGATCCACAGTGACAGACCCTCTGTGTAGAGACAATGTCCTGCCATTCCAATGTTCAGTACTTTTACCAGAATGTCCCGTTTTATCCTGTTCAATTTTCTCAAGTCTGTTGTTTCTTCAGGAACACCTTTACAGCCAAATCAACCCAAATAGAGATTCAGATGTTTTTCTAGAAAAAGGCAATGAAAACTCGATTTGTTGTGCCTTACAATGTAAGGGAAGGTGAGGTTGGATGGTGAAGTACATGTTAGTTTGTACTTTCCCGTCTTTTTGGAGATGTTTCAATCAAGGACTGGTTCACATCAATAAATTAGTTGATCTGACACGCATGTGTTATACGTTACCATCTTAATATTCCGATAACTTTACAATTTATGTGGCACAAGCTTTTATTTCACACGTGGAAATGTATGGATTTTCTTCGCATCGGTTGAAAGGGTGGCAACTCTTTCTGAAAGCATAAATGTTTCTGCACTCCCGTAGTCTTGATTCTATAATACTAGTTTCTTCGTACAGAGCATTCATTCTCCCCCGTATGCAGTTGATTGCAAAGATTAGCCTGCAAAGAGCCTAATTCAAGGGTTTCATAATGTCCTGTCACGTAGCTACTCCATACAAAGGGAAGGAACTCCTCAAGGATGGAGTACAAGTTGATCATTGATGTCTAGGAAGAAGCGTTGAAATAGAATTTGGGCATGCGGTTACTTTCAGAAGCTATCCGAACAGCTAGTCTCCTTTACATATTTTGTTACCAGTCTCCTGCACAACAGTCTTTAAGTAGTCCCCAATAGTTTGAAAAACTTACACACAGCTCACTAGGTTACTTTTATTATTATAAATAATAATAATCTTTGCATTTGGTAAGGCGCTCTTCAGGTCAGGAGGACGTCCCAAAGTGCTTCATAGGATTATATTGTAAAGTGAAGTGACTGTGTATTATGTGGGCACACATGGCAGACAATTTACACACAGCAACGTCCCACAAACAACCATAAAGTGAATGACAAAAGGCCGACAAATATCAGACCACATGAACGATTTTTTAAAAGGCACAGTTTCAGCAAATTTCGTTCGCTAAACAAAATGTTAGCAGTTTGATAGAACTTAGACACATAAGTACCGTATAAAGTATTCACCAAAGGATCTTGCTCTTAAGAAGGGCAGTTAACTTGAAAGATGGTTGCAAAAAATTGTTGGCAAATTAAAAATAAAGAGTAAACAATGCTATTAGCCTTATGACTTTGGTGTCACTATCAGTCTCAAAAGAGTATGTTGTGAAGCTGCAATTTTTCAAAGGCGGAATTTCATTTTCTTTATGAACTACTGAGGGTGGATCTTTTAAACATGGCAAGCTTTCCACCAGAGTCATAAAGCAATTTCCAAGTATCTCTGAAGTCATTGAACTGTGAACATAGTTATAATTTAAATCGAAGAGACTATAGCTCTGAGCGGTGTGTGTGTGTGTGAGTGTTGGCGAAGGGGTAACTTGAGGTAATTTATATTCTTGGTCAGTATCGGCTTATAGCCTGCAGTTCAGCTGGAGAAGACTCGTTCTTACCCACCTCTGCTAAGCAGCTGATGGTATATATATATTATATATATATGCCATAGTTTCCTCCACGTTGGCTGGAGAACTCACTTGCTACCCCCTTCCATTTTTGATGGAAGCCTGTTCCATCTTGAATGTTGTTGAAAACGACATCAAAAATGCCCGAAGAAAGAATGGCCACCACATCCAGAAATAGGACTTCAGATGTGTGCTGTTCAAACATTCTGAAGAGCTGTTTTGTGTTGAAAGCGAGTATCTGCTGTGTCCATCTCTGGGAGGAGATGAGCTGATGTTTTCTCAATGTCGCTAGTCTTCAAAAAGAAGTCACCGTATTTCTGTATGGGTGCGTGTGTCTCCAAGCAGCTGATAAGTGTGAAGTGGTATCAAAAATTGTAGAGAAACACTGTTATGAATAGTAGCGTTGGATCTAAGGTTTGATTCCTGTTGCACAAGGGTTTGTCGAGGCTGGCAAAGTGAATGAGAGGAAACTCCTCTGTTTAACAG